GTTCGACCGAGCCGTCATTTTACCCGACTCCATAATCGAGTATTTTTCGAAGGGACACCAACAATCCGATTCGACTCAATGTACCGTGTACGTCAAGCCCACACTAGGTCTCGACCCATCCGCACGTGCATCTTTCATGATCTGGCCAAACACTTGGACATTGATAGCTGAGTCTCGCACACGAGTCTCCGTCGCCTAACAAAGACCCCGACTGAATCCCACATTCAACCCAAGGAAGCATCAACATTCGGTCTTGCAACTTATCCCCACTAAGATAGCCCGAGACCTCGTACATTTATGCATTCCTACCCTACTCAGCACAGCATCCCTCAATACCGTGCCTTGTCGTACCTGGATGCGCCAAGGGTCACGCGACCAGCCGACATCACACTTAGGGGTGTAACAGTTGGAGCCATTTAATTTGACAAAAGTTTCCAAATAGGGTTTATGATATGAAGACATAACTAAAAATTTTCAAATCAGAAAGACCAAGGCAGGCAACGTAAGAAGGTCAAAACAGCAGCTAAGGTCAACAATCGTGGCTAATGATAATAGTAGATTAGCATATTAGAGTTAGCTTAGAGTGGCAACACAAATTAGGAGCATAGATGAAAAAGAGGACTTTGCCCTTGTCTGATACCATGTAAAGTAATGGAGCATGTAAAATATGAAGAGTGGAATAGTTCATGTGTACCTTGGAAGTATTAAGGACTCATATTTACTAAGGGAGCAGAAAGTAGGTTATAATATCTGCAAAAATTAAGCAAATCTCTCTACCACACAAAAATGATCTTTCTACCATACAAGAGAAAGGTATATAAACAAAAAATATATATACACAGTAAAATCTCCAACAAAATTGAAAATGGAAAATAGAAGTTTATGATCGAACAGTACCAATGATGCGATCTGAACTTGATAGTTAAAGTCTGAGAATGTCTGTTCCAAAATCTTTAGCATCTCATTTATCAAATGCTTATTCTTAATTCCATATGGTCCAAGCAAAAGAATAAACCACCTCCATGCTTGCAGGCTCTGAATCTTCATGCCTTGGTCCAATAGCTCCTTCACAGCTAAGGTCAAATATTTCTTCATATCCACAGCGATTGCCTGCTTAACAAGTAGAAAGCACAGCATATGTTTGATCATGAAAAAGACAAGAAACCCAAATTGAACACTATCTTCCACCTAGTAATTTTTCGTTTTTCAAGAAAGAAAAGGATGAACCTGGAAAGAAGAATATAAGGAATAGGAAAAATGGGCTCATAATAGAATGACATCCCAGGAGAAGTATTTTCATTTTAAATGAAAGGATCGCAATGAATAAGTTAATCACATGGTGCAGCAGCGTATGCATTTGTATTTAACACTTCACCTAACAAAAGAATATTCCAGCTTTAGCCAAAATTCCTCATTTATTCTAGACTTTAAAGAAAATATATAATGGGACAACAGGAATTGGTAGACTACCGGGTTAAAACAAAATTAAAACCTTTGGCACCTTGGATAGACTAATTGGTGGAGGACATATTAAGGGCACAATCTTCAGCAAGCATCTCTCTGACATATCCCTGTCCATTTTGTTCATACTGACAAGCCTTCTGTAAATTGGGGGAGCCCATAAACTTGACACGTCTTTCATCTGCTCAGTTAATGAACAAGCCAACTTCACCACAGCCTTTTATGACAGAAACAAGAAAAAGTTACTGTGTGAAACAAGGCCATAATAGCATCACTAATAACACAGCTAATAACTATTAATAAGATGGGGATGAATATTCAATTCAGCATCATTCTGCAATTAGTAAAATCTAATTTACACTAAAACCAATTGATTATATGGCATAGGCAGGTAACATCATTTGTAAGTTCTTAAACATAGTCAGGTTGCAACCAAAAGTACAGATACTAGTTTTATATTCTTGAAATACCTATGGTCTATAATAGGAAAACAATGAACAAACAGAAAGAGGCATGTTTGCCTAGAAGTTCCATAAGTCGGGCATTCATTAGACAGACTGATTATTCATGACATTCTACCATATGAAACACATCGCACATCTTCTTCAAGGTTATAAACTAAGACGCGAATAAATTTTCAAGGAGACGTTCTTTTGGAAACCTAATGTATTTCTACAGATTAATATAATTAACTCAATACAATTTGATGATATTCAAAGTCAAAGCATGCTTACTACAGAATCATACATTGCAAAACAAAATTTCATCAACCTAGCATAAGTAGGAAGATAAACTGAGGATTGTGAGCACCTGCATTGCCTCAAATGTTATTGAAAGCGAACCAATAGGGTTGTCAAGGGCATGAGTAACTGCACTAATTAAAGGCTTTAAGTGATGGTCCAACAAGGATGGACTGAACTGTTGGATTGATATACACCACACCCCTAAATTACAAACAGACTGCAATGAACATGTAAAAGCTTGTTAATACCTAAAAGTGAAGCAGCACAAAAATACAGGGGAAATACATCAAACATACCTTTATTTTTGTTACTGAAATGACATTTACAAGTGACTGAATTATTACATCAGCATCATCGCCTATTTGGGAAAAAAAAAAAAAAACAAACTTTAACCTCAATCAAAATGACTTCAGAACCTCCATTTTATGCTTTAGTCTTTCAACTTCCGGGAGTCGGGCAAAGCAATATAAAAACCAGAATTAAGGAGGGGCAAAAAAAACTACCTCCAATAGAAGCCACGATGTTTGGGTGGTAGATCATGAAACCCAAACACTTCAACGCTTGAGCAGCTCTGATAATCGACAGACCCATGATAACAAGAAACTATTATTCCACGCGGTTAAGCAGAAACACCACGTGAAAGGAGATAAACGAAAGCTTACATTTCCTCGTCAATGTTAGCAATATCGAATACAATGGAGGAAAGAATGGCGCGGCACGAATCAGCGAGTATCTCCATGGCAGAAGAATCGACCGTTGCGATTTCTTGAAAGTGCAAGAGTTTACTGTAAGCTAAGGCCTTGTCGTGGGATGGCAGGAGGGCTCTTATTTCTTCCATCTGCCTCCTGGAATGCGCCATGTCTGATTATTGGGTGCTTTCTTGGTTGATAAAACTATAAAAGAACAAGACCTAAATTCGGGAGTCTGACTCTGCTGGCGCCAAAATTTGGGAGCAAATTATTTTGCTCTACAAAATCAACTGGGCAAAGTATTTTGCTTCCTTTTCTTTTTCCCCTTTTTTTAAAATATTAAAATCTAACTGATTTCACATATATATTTATTTCTTCTTATTATGCTTTCATTATTCACTCTTTATTTTAAAATAAATACAATCCTCATGTATTTTTTTCACTGTGTTTTATTTTTAAATAATACCATTCTCGTTTTATTTATGGATGTAAAACTTAAAAATTTATAAATTTTAAAAACTAAATATAAAATAAAATTTTAATTTAAATAATAATACAAGTATATTATACAAGATCATGGTAATATTTATTTGTGTATAGGAGGCTTCTCAAAGAATAATAATTTCTTAGATGGATAGATATATTTCTCTTTTAATTATAACTTATGAACATTTGTACTACTTTTTATTTTCCCAGAAATTTTTTAGTATTAATAATAAAGATTTCTAATGTATTTTACTATTTTCTTTTCTTCTTATGTTTTCATTATTCATCCTATTTTAAATATAAACTAAAGTGTATAACATAATTAGTATCTTTTACGGGTTCGCTATACTAGGCACTATATTTTCTATTGGCAATAGTAGTCAACAATTTTTAAAATATTGGGCTTATTACCAAAGTCCGACCAAACTTGACGGAATTCCGGGTGATACCTCAAGATATGCAAACGTCGACTACACGTGGCCTACATAATCCACCACAGCACAATAGCTTATAAATGCATCTTCCACATGTTTAGATCTTCTTCCACGTAAAAAAGGGGAAAATTTGTGCGAAATCAAGAAATAATAATAAAAAAAAAAACTAGAATATCTGACAGCACTGAGTATCCATATTGTTATTGTAGGCTGAAAACTGCGTACTTCTTGGAAAACTCCAAATTGTGGAAGAAAATTCTTCTCGTGCCTCCATTGGAATGAATGTTGAACACTATTCGATATTTTGGCTAAATAAATGTTTTCTAGTTTTTTCTTTCTTTTTGTTAGGATGAGGGAGTAGGATGCAAGTATTTTGGATGGATCGAGCCTCTTCTTTGTGCCTATGCTCAACAAATAATTTTGAGTTTACTCAACAAAACAATTTTCAGAAAATCGGTAAATCATACGTCATTTTGTTCGTCTCGACTTGGGCTTCAATAGGCCTAAATCAATTTTAAAGATCAATTCAAAATTTATTGTTAATTGAGTTAGAAACTTTTTTTTCTTTTGTATCATGTTAGTGTTTTTAATAGAAGAGGCAAATTGTCAGTTTCGATTATTATGGGAAGCAAAGTATCAAGTGAAAAAGTTTGTAAGGCAAACTCTTAAGTCGGCCATACTTTGGGAGGTTACAAAAATTTATCTTAAAATGAATTTATGAGTTTTCAAGCCCACAAGGAGATGAACAAAATGAAGTATGGTTTATGGCTTGTTTTGGGAGGTTACAAAAATTTATCTTAAAATGAATAGATGAGTTTTCAAGCCCACAAGGAGATGAACAAAATGAAGTATGGTTTATGGCTTGTTGAAAATTGATTCATCGGTAATCGATCAACGAAGAAAGTAGTCGCGGATATTCATTAAAAAAACTTCGGTCTGTCTGTTTCAATAATCAGGATATTCGATCGAATGGTAGGTGAACATATGCTTAGAAAAAACTTCATTCTAAGATTTTTAATAATAAGGATATTCAACGTTTGATAAAATGTTTCTAACGAGGTAAATCTTATAACAACTTAACGATTTATAGAAACTATGCACTTATATATATTGAGGAATAAACCTAAGTGAAGCTAACAGCAGAAAGCAACAGAATTTGTGGTTGAATAGTAAAATCATGTTGAGGGTTTATAAAAATGAATATAAAGTTTTTTTTATGGTTGAATGCTAACCAACATTAGCATTCTCACGAGAGCCCATTCATCAACACTAAAACAATTTTGTTTTCCTGAACAGAAAGTCCAGATTGTGACAAAAACAACACTTAAGAAACGAATCAACCCTAATGAAGTGAAGCCACCACTTGACAATTAGGATACCAAAACAATTGCCAAATAAGAACGAAAAGAAACAAAAAGAATGGGAAGTTCCACACAAATTCCTATGGTGGGTATCACTATTATTACAAGCCACTGAATTTCCAGCTAGCACGAAGATGATTTGAGAGTACAACAATGTTTGGGGGGTTGTTCTTGAAATCCGAAACTCCATGCCCAAATCAACCCCAATAATAATAATAAAAATCAAGACTCCCCATCAAAACATGCATAAATAAAGGTGACAAAAAAACTCACAACTCAATCACTAAGCTATGCACTCTCTTGTCCTCCGGAGGCATCTCGAGCAAGTCGAGAGTCACCAAGCCAGAACCCACTTCATACTCAACCTCAACCTCATCACCTCCGACACTACATTTCCTAGGCCTAGTCGACGAGTAAGCGCCAAAACGTCCACATCCCTTCACTTCCATCGAGACAATGGCCAAAGCCTCGTCAGCCCGCACATCGTATCGAAGCCCCTCGATTGCGCCACCAGCATTGAACATATCAATGAGCCCAAACGGAGCAAACCCGAGCCCAGGCCCACAACAAGCCCAGACAGGCGTGACCGTGAAAATCTCGTGCTCCAGCACTTTGAGCGAGACTGGCAAGGCCGCGTTTTGCGGCAACACGATGACTCGGGAGTCTCTGTGTGAGTAGAGAGCCACAGTGCCGTTCCATTCAGGATCGAGAGACACGTCGCTGATAAGGTGGGCATCCGTGCCCCTCACGTAGCCAGAGATGGCCTCTGATTTCGTCTCGTGGAAAGTGTTCTTCCTCTCGACACTGTTCCACGCGGCACCCTGGCAATTGTACACTCCCACCACGCCCGTATGCTTGTTCATATTCCATATCTTCAAAAGGCTGGGATATAAGAAACAGGTGATGTAATTTTTCATCATTACTGCTTAGCAAGTACTAATTATATTTGGGCAAGATTGCATATTAATTCACCACCTTTCATGTTTTTGCAATTTAATCACAACATTTACAATTCTGCAAATTAATACACCACCTTTACCATTTTTGCAAATCGATACATAAATGACGGTTCCGTTAAAAAAATCCAACCAAAATCTGACATGGCATTGACGTGGCTCAGTGCCATGTCAGATTTTCGTTAACGGAACCGTCAGTCATGTATCTATTTGCAAAAATGGTAAAAGTGGTGTATTAATTTGTAAAATTGTAAAGGTGGTGATTAAATTGCAAAAACATGAAAGGTGATGTATTAATATGCAATTTTGCCAAAAAGAAAAGGGGTTGAGTTTTGATTCACAGCAAGAAGTTCTCACCTAACGCCATCACGGGTAGGGTCAGAGAATAGGCCGTCCTTAGTGGGGCGACCGGGAAGGCGGGCCCGGAGAATGGAGCCATCTGGCAGGACAAGCTTTCTCAATAGATCGAAGTTGTGCTTCCCTGGGGCATCACTGTTTCATATACCCTAATCGTTAGACGCATTTAAAATATAGAAGTTAATCAGAGCAAGCGAGTGGGTGTACTATTTATTTATTTTTATTTTTTGTTTCTTTTTCCAGTTTTACCTGACATAGACAGGCCCACCACTGATAGCTCTGGCCGAGCCGTGGTACTCGGCCGCCGGATGGAGAGAATGGAACATGTCCCAATCAGGCAGCATTATTTCTCCAAGGAAGATGCTGTTATAGGCAACCGCAGCTATGTGGATAGTGTGTGACATGGGATCTCGCGGATAGAAATCATCCGATGCCCTCACAATACCAGTTTGTTTCGAGCTGTTTTCATATTTAGTTAGTCATATCAACACACGTATTTGTTGCGTGCATCATAAACCAAGCACGGATTAAAAAAACATCAAGTTCTCGAATTACTATATCCTATATCTCTATCTCAACTGGATGATAAACAAAGCACCAAACTATGAAGCATAACCCATATTACTAAACTATGGAGCATAACCTCAATTAATCTTCAATTAAAATCACAAAAAGAAGGAAAGACAAATAGAGATTACCAGTAAAGTGACTCAAGATTGTGGCTCATACACGCAATGCAGCCATTATCAGTAAAGTTCCTGGCAATAGATGCATCAAGCGCCTGATGATACTGCCTGGTGAGCTCGACCCTTCCCCCAAGCCCTGCCCCAAGCGTCTCCAATATACACTGCACGTCCACCTTCACCCCATCCACCCCAGCCAACGCCAAGTAGCTATGCAACTCATTGTAAAACCGGTACACGTTCTTGGGATTCACCAAACCCAAACCCTCAACAGCTATAGCATCCGTCTTCCATCCAGGCTCGTTTTCCATAACCCCTTTAGACAATTTAGGGTACTGCATAGCCGAACCGTATTCTTCCCCGGGCCTCACTCCTCCCCAATACCCTGTAATGGCGTGCCACACGTACACGTATTTCAGCCCGTAATTCTTCTTTGCTATCCTCACTATGTTGTTGATCCCTTCATCCTTCTTCTGGAACTTGGGGTTCTCCTTGATCCCTGTAAGTCTCAGCAAACCACCTTTCTCTTCATTTTCGACCGATTGCCAGCCATCGTCAATTATAACAAACTTGGGAGGGGTCTCACCGGATATAAGGCTCTCGAGCCCTTCGGCCACTCCTTCTTGAGTCACCTCCTGATAGAAGGCATCCCACGTGCACCACCCGAACCAATCCACAATCCCCGGAAGCTTCTTCTCGTCTCTCATCCGGAAACTTCCCAGGTGAGCCCGCACGGCCCGAATTGCCTCGTGGACAGTTTCAAACGGGTCGGAGCCCGAGCTCACATAAACAGCTCGGGAAAAGGAGGAAGAAACAGTGTCTAAATCCCCGCTCTCGAGGCAGAGGTCAAGGCCGTCCATCTCGTTCCCTTGCAGGGAAGCCTTGAACGGGCCATCCACCATGGGGAGGAACACTGTGTAAACATCGTCCTTTGTTTCTACAAGGAGGAATTGGGTTTCTAAGGGGATTTCGCGGCCTCTGTCTCCCATTCGCTGGGCCATCCACCAAAGCTTGAATCGGAAGCAGGCAAGGAAACGGACATCTCGCAGGGTTCCAAGCGGGATAACGTGGCGGCTGCCTTCCTGGTTGAGGGCCGCCCCGAGGAAGACGCCGTCCGCTGGGCCCTCACCCGCGCCGGAGGTCGGGGTTATGTTCTCCGGCACGCCGGAAAGGATCGTCTGGTCCTTCACCAACAGATTCCGGTCGGAGGAGATCCGGATGGCCGGCTTGATCGTCATTTTTTTCTCTGCTGGTACTTTTTCCTTCTTGTGTTTGGGTTCTGCCTCACTGCCCTGCGCCAATTATTTATTAATATTCAAAAAAGAAAAAAGAGAGAGAGAGAGAGATTAATTTGAGTCAATCAATAGTGGATCTGTCGTCGAGCTTGAGCTTGCCTTAGAAAGAAACTACAGTAAATCCTAGCTAGGATCGAATTAAAGAAAGGGGAACATTTACATACCCTACCCTGTAAGCACCAGCTTGATTGGGTGAAGAAAATGAAGGTCTGTATTGATAAGTGGTGTTGAAGCGTGGTTTGGATATGGCGTTGAGAAGGAAGGTATTTATAGCAGTTGGGCGACTGGAAGAGAGAGAAAGTGCCATCACCATTGTTGCGATTGGATAGGATGACGGTGGCGGTCGCCGGTCAGTCGGATCTTACACCCATCACTACTTTATTTCATTCCCATAATGCATATACAATTACAATAACAATAATTGCCAAATCATGTGGGTTCTCATTTCTAATAAATATTTTTATCTAAAGAATTCGTAACAGTTTCGTTACTCTCACAAGTTAATTGTCTACCAAATTTATCAAAAAGTTATGTTAAACATTTACCTTTTAGATGGAAGAATTTTTTAACAAGGCTACATCGTTTGATTAGTGTAACCAATATTTGGGATCAAATAAATATATTGAATTAAAATTTACCTAATTTAAATATATTAAAAAAAATAAATTGACTAGAACCCAAAATAAAAGGGTGGAGTAAAGATAACAGTTGATCCAAAAGGCATATGTCTAACATTCATTTATTTTATTCATATGTGTCAGTAAAAAATTTTTATTAATGTGGTCTGAAAAAACAACCTCTATATCAATATGGTTTCAGATCTTCCTCAATTCTGATTCCTAGAATACAATCCTAAACCTAAAGACATCGGCACACATATCTAAATTTTATTTATTTTATTCATTTGTGTAAAAAAAAAAAAAGATCTAATCTCATCTACCAAAAATAAAAACTCATTTACTATTCACCGTCCCTCAATTACATTTTTGCCCTTCACACTCTCTTTCTACTCTATCTCTCTACTCTTTCCCTCTCGATTTTCTACGGCTTTTTTGACCGTAAAAAAAATTTCGAAAAAATACCATGACATCGGCAAAACATTGAATATTGACCATGTATTTTTTTTTTATAAATTTTTATTTTTTTTATTTTTTTAGCGCGTCCAACCAGCCCAATAGTACGCGCCAAAAGGCGTACAACCGGCGAGGCCGGACGCGCCAAAGGGCGTCCTACCGGCGAAGTAGGACGCCTTTTGTCGCGTCCGGCCTTGCCGGTTGGACACCTTTTGGCTCGTACTACCGGGCCGATTGGACGCGCCAAAAAAATAAATTTATTTTTTTAAAAAAATACATGGTCAATCTTCAATGTCTTGCCGATGTCATGGTATTTTTTTTGCTTTTTTTTCGAAATTTTTTTGACGGTCAAAAGAGCCGTAGAAAATCGAGAGGGAAAGAGTAGAGAGATAGAGTAGAGAGAATGTGAACGGCAAAAACGTAATTGGGGGACGGTGAATAGTAATGCCAACAGTCGCTTTGTACCTCGGACCCACATATGACATATCTAAAATTCATTTATCTTATTCATTTGTGTCAACCAAAACTTTACTAATGTCCTCTGAAAAACAACCGCTCTACATAAATAATTAAAACTATTATGCAACTTTCATTTAAAAAAAAATCACTTTATATAAATAATTAAAACTATTATGCAACTTCATTTAAAATAATTGTTGGAGGTCCTCCTAAAATTCTATTCCCTCTCCTTAACATGACATGGATAATAAAATTTCTAGTGATGGCCTCACAAATGTGATGAATTTTTAAATTAATTTATTGCTATAAATATTTTATTTATATTGTAACATAACAAATGTCTTTGAATTTTAAGTTACTTTATGCTATAAATATCTTAAATTATATTGTATAGAATTATACTATATTTAATAAAAAATAATTAAAAATTTTAAGAAATTAATGGAAAAACTATTTTTTTTTACGAGCTCGTTCTGTCAATTCTCGGCGGTGATACTCAGCACTCAAGCAGCCCATCTAGGCGGCATCCGAAGCGGCAGCTCGTGGCGTACGTCGATGGCCCTGAGAAGGGACATATGGCTTGAACATTTCTCCGGTTGGTTCTCACCGAATTTTTAAAAACTCTACTTTCGCCGGAGAATCTCCGACGAGATTGCGGGGACGGGTCGTAATGTGGACGGCGGAGCGAAGCTTGTGTCAGTGGGCGGCAGGGTGGCGGACGGCTGTTGGTGGCCATGAACTTTGGACTGCAGATTGTGAATCGCTGGAGTTTTAAAAACTCCACCTTGGTCAGCGAGTCTTCGACGAGATGGCGGGACGGGTCGTAGCATATGGCGGCGGGAAGCTTGTGTCGGTGGGCCGGGGTGGTGGCGGGTGGCTGCCGGCGGCCATGAACTACGGGCTGCATATTGTGAGGACGGTGTGTGAGAGAGAGTGTTGAGGGTGGGTTTGTGTGGGGCCCACTATATTGGTGGATGATTTTAATATTTTGTGTATTGTCCGTTTTACCCTTACTAAGTGGACAAATATGTACATTTGACTACAATGTATATGTTAAATTACCATGTTGCCATTAATGATTGACCAGATTTTGACTTAATTATAACTATTGATATGATGTATCCAATGATCCAGATTTATTCTCATTTATTTCACTATCTTCCTTTCTCATTTGATCCCAATTCTCATATATATATACATGGTCGCGCTTCAGTTAGAATGGTGCTCAGTGAAATAAATAAGAATATATCATAGCCATTAGATCGAATGATCTAACGACTAACAAAAATGTCAAAATTATACCTTCATTAAGGGCATTGTGGTAATTTTTCACACAACACCCAAATAGGTGGACCCCACACCCTAATAACACACCTGCAAATGTGCCAACTGCCAACCATATATGGTCATCCACCCCACCCCACTCTCTCTCTCTCTCTCTCTCTCTCTCTCTCACACACACACATACACACACACACAACACATAGTCGCACACTCGCACACACCCGTCGGCAGCACACCGTCGTCACCCACCGATCACCTCCAGACGCCTCAGCCATTGTTCTTCTCAGTCGTCGTCGCCCCTCATCCGCCGGCGATCTCGAAGACGGTCTCCTGCTGAAATCGAACACCGAACTCAACATCTCTCTCGCTCGTCGTTTACCGTCGATCCCGTCCAAGGAGACAGACCCACGATGACGACTCTACTCGAACGGCCGGAACCCTAATCGATGGAGGACACCCAAATCGATCGGCCACATCGCCCTGTCGAAAACAAGCTCAAAGTCGGACCCTCCGACCTTCTATTCTCACAATCCGGTGGTCGGAGATGCCGGCAACCCCTGAAGAAAGTTGTAGGCGCGAACGCGAAACCTGGAAATCCGGCCAGCGAGGAAGTCAGATTTGGGCTGGATCACTTTTTTGAGAATTTGAAACTTCACAGGAGCTTGATTGCAAATTTCATAAATTTAAATAAATTTCAATTTAGTTACTGGGGTCCAATTTATAATTTATCCAAAGTTTAATAATCATATAATAATTGTAATTGAATTGCACAATATCATATAAGGAATTACATATAAAAAATATAAGCACTCCATAAAATAAAATGTATGGTTTAATGGTAAATTGCACAATATCATATTTGGAATTACACATAAAAAAATATACGCACTCCATAAAATAAAAAGTATGGTTCGAAATTATATGTTTCGATTCGATTATCTGTTATTAATTTCAATTAAGTTATTTAGCTTCAATGTAAGACTAGTACAATACCCATGTAAATACACGGGTGTTGAATTAGGAAGCATATGTAAAAAATATTATTTTTTTAAACTAAAATAATTTAATTTTATATAAAACATTACTTTGGGTTTTAATTAAATTGTCAAATTATATTTTTTTTAACATAATAATTAAACACCCATATATTAAATGAAAATGTCAACTTATATTGAATTTTTTTACTTATATCATATAAATTATCGATATTATTTACTATTATTAAGTAAAAAAATATATATCTTAAATAAATAGAAATAATATGGTGATATGTATATGCATAAGTGCATAGATATGTTTGTTTAATATTAAGCAAAATAGATATATGTAATTTTAGAATTTAGATAAATAATTATTTATTTTTATTAGATTGATAACATACCAATTAGATTTGAAATAAATATCATTTTTAAGAGTATATCATATATAAAAAATAAAATACAAACAAAAAAGTTATAAAATATTAAAATAAGAAGAAGAAACATTTATAATAACTGATGAATAAATTAAATAAAAAATAAAATGTAATATATGGTAATATAAGGAAAAGAAATATAAAATAATTTATGATAACTAATTGTAGAAGTAAAAAAGGAAAAAAATCAATCATGGATTTAGTGTGATAAGAAATATTAATTCATATCCAAGCCTAACTCCAAAGCATGGTTTTTTGCCAAATAGGATTTCGAAGCGTGAGAGTTTGCCATGTAGGCTCAACCTATTTTGAAATTATATATAGAGGGAATTTTTATTTTTATATAAAAATATTTTAAATTTCATCAAAAAAATAAAATATAAAATATAAAAAAAATATTAAAAATAATCAATGTACTTGTATAATAATAAATTATAAATTATTTCAATTATTTAGATTGATTCGATGTACAATTATATCTACTAAATATAGTTTTCAAAAATACATAGTTTATATGTAGTGCACTTTACATATCATCACGATGCACTTTATAAAATAACACGTTGCACTTTATAAAAAAACATGTTGCACTTTAGCACTACACTCAATAATTAGCATCAATAGCTTCACGCCAAAAAATTCCACACGACATGATGCTAATGCACCAAAATTACAATAGTTTATTTTGTACATCGACATGATGCACTTTATAAATAACACGTCGCACTTTAGAAAACATCACGATGCACTTTATCCCGACTATCAGATTGTACAATAAAGATCGAAACCAACTGAACTAAAAAATTTTCAACCAAACATATTATAAAAAATAATAAATAAAATTATTAACATACTAATTATATTTTTAATATAAACAACAAACTATTTCAATGATTTAGGGTAATTCGCTTATGCCGTACAAATCAAGTAATTATGTTCGACTTCATTTGATTGTGACAAATCCGGAGTTCAATGTGCACAATACCATCGACTGACACCACGCACCATAGTGATATACGAATTGCACATTGATAATGGTCATGTTGCACATTATATGTTGTTTACACGTGCATTATTTTTTTAAACAAACATAATATAAAGTATTAATAAAAAATATTAAAATACTAA